GATTGATTCTGCAACCTTTTTACAGTTGGAACAGACACTTTCCCAACTGCCAACTTCATCGGTGGTCTGGTTCATTTCTGAATAAAGAGGGTAAAACAGTCTAATCATATATTCTGTATTTGATGGCCCACAACAAAATATACTGCGGGTCTCAATAAATGTTTTTTTTTTTTTATTACTCTGAATGAGTTACACAATAGAAAAGGTAATTTTTTCATTTTTTTAAATTTTTTTCTACTTAACTTAATATTTAAATTTAAAATTTTTAACTTGAAATCTCAAGTTATTAACTATTGAATTATCTCATTGGATTCTCAAGAAAATGTATTTAACCAAGTATAAATAATAATAATAATAATAAATGTTATGCAATACAAATTATATAATATATATCATTAGATGAAAATGAAGATAAAGGCCTGATACGAGAGTAAACCTTCATATTGTGATTGTCTCATATTTAATGAATTTTGTCTTATTGTGTAAATTATAAAATATAAAACTCAATAAATAAAAATCTCTTAATTATATGATTTAAATTACATCAAATTACAAAATAGAGGTGGTTGAATGAGAGAAGAAGACTCAACATTAGGGTATGCCTCTCATTTCAACCATCCATGTTGTGCAATCAAAAAAGTATTTGTCCAATATGAACTACAAAATAAAAATACAAGTTAACCTATAAATTTATTAAAATGCTATTAATAAAGCTCTTATTATGTTATTTTTTAATAACATTTTAGTATTTTAATAAAATTATGAATTTTGAATGCATACTCCCTGATATATACACATATATATATATATATATATATATTAATTAGTTCTTTTGTATTTATAATACTTTAAATTCTTGACTTGAACTATTTAGATTTTTCAATTAAATGATAAATTTTTATTTTTTATTTAAAAATATTAAATTTTTTATTTTTTATTAAAAATTTATTAAAAGACTATGACAAACGTGCAAAAAGCATAACCTCAACCCATTAAAAATGAAGTAGAGATTATTATATTGATTTTTTTTTTTCTAATGGAATATTTTCTATCATGAATAATTACTATTTCATCTACATTATCTTCAACTTAAGAAATTAAAGCACCCATTATAGTTTCCAACTTACGAATTTTTAATACATTTTTTCTTTCAATTCTGATAGGATTATTCCTATTATATTCATCATGTTTGTGTTAAATTCACAGCTGAATTGAACGCAGCTAAAGCAAAATGCAAACTGTTTGTTGGATCCAGCGGATAATTTTGTCATTTGAGAATATAGAAATGGGCCAATGCAGATAAATAATCGCTTGCTTTGCACTTTGTGCATCATAAAAAACTGAAAGATAACACAAGTTTGTTATTCTATCTAATTTAATCTTTTCCTGGATTTATTCAGTCTATGTTAGTTCTTCTTAGAAAGACTAGTTAATCGTCAATCTAGAAAGGAATAGGCCAATTGTTTCTCCTCGATTAGTTCTTTTTCTGTTGCATCCATCTTTTCCCTTGAGAACTCATTTATCTTCAGCCCTATCATTGTGAGAAAAAACAAGATCAAACCTCCTACTTGAAATTATATAGAGACACTTTTCATTTGGAAAAGACATAAAAATAAAAAGATCTTTGGTTATCCTCAACAGGCACAACTTACCCTGAACAATTGACCACTCTCCTTTCTGGCATGTAACGGGAAAAGAGTATATAAGGCCACGTTGTATTCCGTATGATCCATCAGAACATACTCCCATGGAAACCCATGTACCCTGAACAACAAATGCAAAGTTACAAACACTAAATTCATTGCAAAGAAAGCAGAGAATGAAGATTGTAAAAACAACAATTAGTAACTGCATGTGCTATTTGAGATGAAGAGAATCATAAACCTTGGGAGTCCCAAGTACCCAATCACGCATATGGTCACAAGCAGCACTTGCAGCAGATAGAGCACTTGATAGCTGGCAAGCCTTGATAATGGCTGCACCACGATGCCGCACAGTGGTAATGAACTCAGTTTTCAACCTGACAACAGCATGATAAAATGTAAGTTTCACCGTTCCAAGCCTATCAAGCAAAATGCAACTGAAAGGCCACAAAACGGGTCAGCAATTTTGGGCTACCATTTATCATCTTCAACAGCATTTCTAACAGGCTTCTCTCCATCGCTTGTGTTGACAGTGGCATGATTGACATCTGGATATTGAGTTGATGAGTGATTGCCCCATATTATAACATTTTTTACGTCACTAATATGAACATTTAGCCTCTGAGAAAGCTGGCCTAATGCTCTGTTATGATCAAGTCGTGTAAGACAGGTGATGTTTTTCTCTGGGATAGA